AAAAAAAAAAAAAAAGACACATGGCAAGCTCTATGGTGTGGAGATAATACGCTACTCAAGAAAAAACAGATTTTAGAACTAGCAGATGGTGTAATGGTTACATTGCTCAAATACCATCAAATCCCGGGCCTGGCGACTGAAGCCTGATGCTGGGCATGTGTGCATGTGTGCCCAAGATCCCTAGAGGAGAAGGGACTGCGGTGTGTCCATCCCTCCAGGGAGGGTGACTTCTCACTTTCTGTCTCTCTGTTTCTCTGGTGAGTGCACCTGCCCCATAGCAAAAATCTCTCTTAAAAAAATGAAAAGAAAAATTAGATCCCACATGGTGACTACAGTTTGAATCCACAGCCCAGTCAGCGTGAAATATGCTGGGCAAGCACATGAAACTCGGCAGTTTAAAATACAGGACAGCCCAGCCTCACGGCATGGTCAGCAGTCAGTAGCAAACTAAACAGCAATGCAGGAAGTCACACAGTTGACCATGGATTCACATCCCTGTGTCAGTTTGAAAACATATCAAGAGCATGGATAAGATCCTGTCAAGGGTGCTTCTCTCTTGCGTGTGCATGTGTGCACATACACACATTCTCGATTATAAATAAAATAAATGAATATTAAAAATAAACAAAATACAGGAAGGGGTTCCTATGAGAGAACAGAGAGGCAGATACAGGTGTTGAGCCATAGGCATCAAAGGATGATAAACCAGGGCCAGCAGGTGGCATGGTGGTTAAGGCAATGGACACTCTCAAATGGCCAATCATGGTTTAAGTCCCAAAACTGGTGGCTTGCTTTCTCACTTTCGCTCTCTCTCTCTGTCTCTTTCTGGTCAAGTTAAAATAAAAGAATGAATAAATAATTCTTTTTGCTTTTTAAAGAATTCTACTTGACTTTATTTATTGTTATTATTATTATTTTCCAGTTTGAGAGAAAGGCAGAGAGAGATGGAAAGTGAGAAAGCAAGTCACCAGGTCCAGGACTTGAATTGCAGTCGGCCATGTGGGAGTCCAGCACCTTTAAACATCACATCACCTGCTGGCCCCTAAATAAATCTTTATTTAAAAAAAAAATGGATGATAAGCTAATCCAATCCCAGGTTCTCCCAACAGAAAAAAACGCATACCCCATGGCAGGAGCATAGAGACCAGCAAGGATATGCTGAATGAATGAAAGAATGAAGAGAACAGAATGAAAGAGGAAAGATTAAAATGATAGAAGGGCAAGAAGTAAAAGGAGAAAAATAAGACTGAAGGAAAAGCAGAGTATCACAGCAGGGAAAGAAGCAGCAAATTAGCCAAAGTGGCCAAGAAAGTAAAATGCAACAATGATAAAGATAAAATAAGTATGGTCACAAGTCTAAAACAATGGAAGAAGTATTTTTATGACTCTGCAAGAAGAGAAAGCAGAAAAAGAATACACATTACTCTCCTTCTATGGGAAATACTCCCAATACTGACATTCAGCTTATCAGAGAATTAAACTGGGAATTATAACCACCATTTATTCATTCTTCCTCCTGTACTAGATATTTGGCTCAGCATTTACTTAAGTTAACTCATTTATAGAAATTTGTAAAATTAACCCCAAATACCCCAAGTTGGTAAGCTGATATGAATACTACGCTTTGGGAGCATGACTGACAGTATCTGTAACTAAGAATGTTTAAGCTCAATGAGCTCTATTGTACACTAACTGAAAGAAAGAATATGCTAATGGTAATAAAAAGGCAGTCTTGAATGACATATCGAATGAAATTTCAAAGTAAGGGGAAAAAAGTGTAGCATTCTCCAACACCATCCAGGGGAGAAGTGAGGCAGGAATACAGCTGCGGAGGGGTGGTACCTGCCACAGCAGCACTCTACTTACCCAGGGATTCAGTTACCTGCAGTCAACTGTAGTCTGAAAATATGAGGTGGAAAATCCCACAAATAAGCAATTCATAAGTTTAAAACTGTATGCTGTTCTGAGCAACATAATGAAATTTCGCACCATCTGCTCTATCCTGTCCAGGAAGTTAATCATCTCTTTGTCTAGCATACTGCATATACCACCCACATGCTAGTCACTTAGTAGCCATCATGGTTATTATCAGATTGACAGACCACAGGAAGGACGGGTACGGTACAATGAGATATTTTGAGAGATACCAGAACACATAACTTTTGTTACAGAATATTATTCTGATTAGTCTAGTCTATTCTTGGTTATTGTTGCTCATCTCTTACTGCACCTAACTTACAACATATTATAAACATTATCATAGGTATGTATACATAGGAAAAACATAATATGCAGAGGGTTCTGGACTATCTATAGTTTTAAGCATCTGCTGGTGTTGTGGTATGTATCTCCCGTGGATAAAAGAGAACAATTTTTAAAAAATGTTGCCAGTAGGTGTGTGTGCTTGCTGGAGAGATACAAAGAGGGTAAGTGAGAAAGCCATCCACCCACCCCCCACCCCCACCCCCCGCCACGGGGCATCACACTACCATCCTCCTCCATTTCTCCCTCTTTTCAGGATTTTGGGCACACACACACACACACACATACACCCCTCACCTGTTTTTCAAGACTACAGTTCTAGGACTCAAAAACTGCAATTGGCCACGTGAGACCCAGTCACCAGGCCATAGCTGACCTTTTATTATAATTTAATGACACTAGCCATTAATAAAAGTCCACTTAATTCTTCTTGCTCTAATTTCATGCCCAAATCAGTTTTTGATTATAATTTGCTTCCCAGGTAGTTTCGTTCAGTGACTATAAGCGCTAATTATTATATTTCTCACCATAAACTGGCATTTTTGCTAACAGATGAGTCAGCCTCTAGAAAAATCAGTTCCTTAAGCCTAATCACCTTTGGGTATACTAACAAATCACATTTTTAATCCTATAAATTCAAAATGTATACCTAGATTGTATGTCTATATAATGATACTATGAGCTTTTTTGGGGGTAAGAATTATTTTATTTAACTTTGTCTATCTGTCTGTCTGTCTGTCTCTCTCTCTCTCTCTTTCTTTCAATTTGACCATAGAGGGACAGAGTGAGAAAGAGGGAAGAAGGGAAAGTGAGAAAAGAAGCCACCAGGTCTGGGACTTGAACTGCAGTTGGCCAGGTGAGAGTCCAGCACCCTTAACCACCACGCCACCTGCCAGCCCCAATACTATGAATTTCCAGAGTTGGCCTGGTGCAGATGGCTGGTCTCCCCTCTATCTCGAGTCTGTTTAAACCACAATCTTTTAAATAAATAATTAGCTGAGTCAGGGAATCAGCAGTTAGCATAATGGCTATGTCACTGGACTCCCACGTAGTCGACCGCGGTTTGTGTCCTGAACCCGGTGGCTTAAAACTCACGCCGGGCGCATGTGCATGGGTGCCCAAGATCCCAAGAGGAGAACGGAGGAGAAGAGATTGCGGCATGACCATCCCCCTGGGGGGTGATTTTTCGCTTTCTGTCTCTCTGTCTGTCTGGTGAGCGCATGCGCCCTATAGTGAAAAAAAAACTCAATAAATAAATAAATAATTAGCTGAGTCTGAGTTATGCTTTGGCACCACAGACAAGGTTCTGTTTTGTTATTGTCACTGAATGATCCGATAATGCTAAAGCAACCTACTGAGAGAAGAGTGGCATTCTCATTGTCATTGAAGGCATGTACAGTAATCCTCCCCAGCCCTTAGAGAAATACTTGCTTTCCTAAGGCACTGAAAAGAGCTATCAGTATACCTGAATAGCTTTCTGATAAGGTTGGAACAAAGAATCCAATAAGAAGATTTATCTTTAAAAATATTTTAGGGAATAGTAGATGGTGTAGTGGTTAGGGTGCTGGACTCCCACCTGGCTGACTGTGGTTCGAGTACTGGACCGGATGATTTGAAAATCACTTAGGACACGTGTGCATGTATGCCCAATATCCTGAGAGGAGACTAGAGGAAAAGGGACTGTGGTGTGGTCTGGGGGATGATTTCTGCCTCTCCCTCTGTTTCTGTCTCTCTCTGACGAGCACATGTGCCCTATGGAAAAAAACCTTTAAAAAAAATTTTTTAACAGCAGAAATATTAAAGAACGAATCAATCTTACAGAAGATAGAAGTCAACTGAAAAGCACTATTTCTTTTTTTTATTTTTAAAGAGGTTTTTGCTATAGGGCACATGCGCTCACCAGAAAGACAGAGAGAGACAGAGAGACAGAAAGTGAGAAATCACTCCCCAGGGGGGATGGCCATGCCGCAATCCCTTCTCCTCCATTCTCCTCTCAGGATCTTGGGCACGCACGTACATGCGCATGGCATGAGATTAAGCCACTAGATACCGGACTCGAACCCCGGTTGACTACTTGAGAGTCCAGCAACATAGCCATTACGCCAACTGCAGGTCCCGAAAAGCACTATTTCTAGCTCCTGTGGGGACAAGGTCAATAAGGAAAAACAAGACCATGGAACTCCAAGGAGCCTCCACATGACCAAAGATAAGTTCTTTTTATTTTTTAAACTTATTTATCATCATCATTATTATTTTTAATTTGTTTATTAAGCACGAGTGCTCACCAGAGACAGAGAGAGACACGGAGAGGGAAAGTGAGAAAGCAAGCCTCCAGGTCCAGGACTCGAACCACTCACTGTTGAGCCATGTGGGAGTCTAGTGTCTTAGCCACCATGCCACCTGCTGGCCCTCAAAGACAAGTTATTTAACCTCTATGAGCCATGTACTCATCTTCCATAAAACAAGAAAATTAGATCTGATCACCTCCAAGGTCCCTTTCCATTCTAAATTCAATTATGACTGGTTCCTTCAGTGTTACATGAAAAGCTAAAGAAACAAACTTACCAAGCAAACTGAGTATTTTTGTTCAAACAATATAGCACATTTCTTCCCAAGTAGAATATTTTTTACTTTATTACAATAAAACTAGAATCAATATAATAAAAACATCAGCATATACAAGAAAATCAATTTGCTACAGTAGTAATTTAAGAATAAAAACAAAAAGGGAGACTTACATGTGTCTTTCATATCTGAGGGTTTCTCGGATGGACCATGCAACCTGGTACGGCGAGGCCTGCTCTGAGTCCTCTGGTTCCTCTCCACTCTCTTCGGACCAGTCCAACCCTGGGACAGATAGAGAACATCACCAATCAGAAAAAGTTAACTTTTACTTAAACAGCTACTCAAAAATTGATAACCCAACATGTATATCAAGCACTATCACAGTATGATAAATGCCTCATTTCTTTTTCTTTTTTTGGTCAATATTTGCTCTAGGGTGCTTGCACGCACTAACTGAAACATCTTCGGGGGGTCTGACCATGCCATAATCCCTTCTCCTCCATTCTCCTCTTAGGATTTTGGGTGTGCATATACACACACTGGTGTTTTCTTCAAGCCACTGACCCAGGACTACAACTGTGCAGCTGGCCATGTTGGATCCAGTTTCCTTAACCACCATGCCACCTGGCTGACCCTCATTTCTATTCTTATACAGTATGAATAATAAATGTATAAACTATGCACAAATTTAAAACAGATACTATTGTTAATAAAAAGGCTCCACTATATTCCAAGGATAAATCTATTTTGTCAGACTAATGGGGTAGAAACAACAGAAGCAAAGAGACAGAGTTCAGGTTGCAAAAATGGCAGAATTTAAGTAGAGAAATAGAAATACAGACAATGCTGAATGATTTTATTAAATGGGATAAAAAAAATTGGGGGGGGGGAGAGGTTTTTCGCTATAGGGCACATGCGCTCGCCAGACAGAGACAGAGAGATAGAAAGCGAGAAATCACACCCCAGGAGGGATGGCCATGCCACAATCCCTTCTCCTCCATTCTCCTCTTGGGATCTTGAGTATGCACGCACACTTGGCTGGCTTGAGTTTAAACCACCGGGTCTGGGACTCGAACTACGGTCAACTACATGGGAGTCCAGCGACATAGCCATTACGCTAACTGCTGGTCCCGGGATAAAAAAAAATTTTTAAGAAGTTTTTGCTACAGGGCGCATGCGCTCGCCAGAAAGAGAGAAATCACCCCCCAGGGGGGATGGCCACGCTGCAATCCCTTCTCCTCCATTCTCCTCTTGGGATCTTGAGTATGCACGCACACTTGGCTGGCTTGAGTTTAAACCACCGGGTCTGGGACTCGAACTACGGTCAACTACATGGGAGTCCAGTTACATAGCTATGACCCAAACTACTGGTCCTGATCTTTTTTTTTTTTTTTTAAGAGAGATTTTTGCTATAGGATGCGTGTGCTTCCTAGAGAGGGAGAGACAGATGCGTGAGAAGGAGTGAAAAATCCTCCCCCTGGGGAGATGGCCACGTCACAATTCCTTCTCCTCCATTCTCCTTTCAGGATTTTGGGCACACATGCACACACACCCAGCGTGAGTTTTAATCCGCCGGTCTGGGACTCAAACCGTCGTCGACTACATGGGAATCCAGCAATATAACTATTATGCCATCTGCTGGTCCCATAAATGTGATCATTTTTAATGACTGGATAATTTTTAGCTCTTGACATAAAGTTTTACCCACCCTTTTAAGTTTTATATCTTGAAGAGGTCGTGATAAACACTGACATTACAGATCTTTAAGTATAACAGTGTGGGACTACATAATTTCAAAATACTCATACCACTAGGAAACTCATTACACATCTTGATACCTAGTATTTTATTCATGTCTTCCTTCTTAAAAACCTCAAAATTCAAAAGATCATCTTAATAAGACAGTTAAATTAAAAGGACCTCTACAGTTTAAATGAGTTTACATGTGCCAAATAAGGAAATTAAGGTTAATTAAAATGCAAATTATAAATGCTTAAAATTAAGTAACATATTAGCACTGGCGCAAGGAAATTTCAAATCTAGTATCAAGATAACTTTCTAAAATGTCAGGTCACCTTAAAAAGTTAAGTTACTTTCTCTCAACTAAAATAATTAACTTGCAGGACAAAGAAAAATAAAAAACATGATTAAGTGAACACAACAGTATTAAGTGTGTTGAAAGGTGAGGTCCTTCAAAGTGATACTAAAGGCATCTTTAAAAATTAAAATATGCGTTATCTTTTAATTGTTTCTGTAGAGGTAATCACTTCCAGTAAGACATCTATACTTTCTCTAAAAAGTCAAGATCTAAGTCATAAGAACTAAGATGGAAGTGTTTCCCTTATGAAAATTAATTGTAAAGTAAATGAAAATTAACCAGTAAAGTAATAAGCCTTTGATCTTGGCTTCATCACTGGTTTTAATGTAACTAATAGAACCGGCCTAGACAAGACTGTAAAAACTAATTATAAGACAGAGCTTTCCTTTAAGGTTTTCTTTGCTGACATGAACACAGACTATATGAGTGTATTACAATTTCTGGATTCTCCAAAATAACCTTTGTTTTGACATTTTAGACCTCTAATATGACTGAATTTTTAAAAAATGCTTAAACATTTTTCTGTAAGTTTTTGTTGTATTAAAAAAAAAATACACACAAACAGTCCCTAACACGACATAAAATTTCAGTTTCTAAAGATAATAAAATAGCATCAGCGCCACCCACGGTGGCACAGCTGCAATGCAACACTCCAGGACGCTAAGACCACATGGGCAGGTCCGAGGTTTGCATCTTGAGGTCTCTCTCGGCATGCTGGGGGCACATGCACCTGCCCATGATCCCGGTAGACTGTAGCTGAAGGTAGATAGTGCTGAGAAGAGAGCTGTGTGGCAATGTCTGTTTGCCTTTTTCCCAGTCTCTCCCATGGAATAAATCATTGAAAATTAAAAATGTAAAAAAAAAAGATAAAAACAAAACCAGTTATTTTTTTAGGGCAAGCTCTGTGGCACGGCAGTTGAAGTGGCTAGAACTCACTTCAAATCCCATACCTAATGGCTTGAGAAGTATGTGAGACACATGTACATGGGGACCCAAAATCCTGAAAGAAGGGGAGATCAGAGGAGATGGCACTGCAGGCATGACCATTCATTCCCCATGGTGGAGGTATTTTCTCCTCTCCTTTCTCTGTCTCTCCTTGGCAAGCACAGAAGCTCTAACAAAAAAAATTAGCACCCATAAATAAATAAGATTACAAATGAAAATTTAGTAGATGATAAAGAAAAGCATTGGGATTAGAGGTAAACATCTGGAAAAATGCAGATGTCTGGGTCAAGACTAAAGCCTAAATGAGTATTAGAGAGATGACCAAAATGTAAATGATGAAATAATAAAAGAACTAGAAGAAAATGTAGGCAGTGTCTATATTTAGATACTATTTGAATGAAGAAAGCCTGTTACAGAGCTAGCCAGTGGCATGGGGGTTACGGCAGGTAGATCCCCCAAGGTCAGCTATGCTGTTCCAATCCAGGCCCTGTGGCTTGAAAAACATGCTGGGCACATGTATGTTTGCGCCCAAAATCCCAAAGGTGAAATGGAGGAGAAGGGACTGTGGCATGACTGTCCTGCGGATGCTTTCTCACTTTCCCTCTCTGTGTCTCTCCCATGAGCACTCATACCCTTCATCAAACAAACATAAGCTCTTCTTGTTTTGGTAATGATCTGTCCCCCCAAAGCTTCATGTTTTTAAATTTGGTCCCTGGTGTGGTGGAGTTAGGTGAGGTGACACTCTCAGGAACAGATGAATGAGGTCCTGCAAGGCGCAGTGCGTGAATTCTAGCTCTCCCGAGATGGGGTTAGTTCTCACCAGAGAGGGCTGCTATAAAACAAAGAGCTGGCTGCAGCTCTCTCTCTTCTCTCTGCATGCACCTGCCATCTTCTCTGCTTCTGTCAGTCAGTCATGTCCAGCTACCAGAACTGTGAGCTAATAAACCTCTATTTCCTTTTCTCTAGTCATAATAGAGTATGCACAAGAGAGTGAGAGAATGAGAGAGAGATGAACACCCTGACCAGAGTCAGGTCATGCTGAGATTCCTTCCTCCTGTCTTCCAGCCAATCAGATCTGAGGCATTTCATCCATGCATGGGTGGGGATTCAAACCATGGTCACGATAAGGGATTTGACTCCTTGAGCAGGGCATCACTGCTACACCACAGAGCCAATGCAATCTCTACTTCTTTATAAATCATCCAGTCTCAGGTGTTTTTGTTAGCGACACAGTAACAGATTAAGATGAAGCCCAGGGACCAGCAGTTGGCGTAATGGCTATGTCGCTGAACTCCCATATAGTCGACCGCGGTTCGAGTCCCGGACCCAGTGGCTTAAACTCACACCAGGCACGTGTGTGTGCGTGCCCAAGATCCTAAGAGGAGAAGGGACTGTGGTGTGGCCAACCCCCTGGGGGTGATTTCTTGCTTTCTATCTTTCTGTCTTTCTCTGTCTTTCTGGCGATTCATGTGCCCTATAGCAAAAACCTCTCAAAAAAAAAAAAAAAAAATGAAGCCTAAACAAACAAAAATCCTGACTCCAAAGAAGAAATGCTAGGCCCAGCCTGCGTACTGGACACTACTGTTCAACAGGTAGAGGCCACATGAGAGGCCCGCATTTGATTCCCTGCTCACCCTAAAAAGCTGGGTGTGATGGTACACGACTGCAGTCCCAGCTACTTGGGAAGCTGAGGCAGAAGGATCATGACATAATAGGACCCTGCCTAAACACACACACACACACACACACAAGGCACAAAGGGAGAAAGAGAATATATAAACATTTTCTACTTCTAAATTCCGAAATCAACATAATAGTTATTTTAAAACAAATAAATGATGAGATGAGAAGTTCTGTAACGAAAATTAAACATATGGATGAAAGATAGGAAAAAGCAAAATAAATAAATACATAAGGCATATGAACAAATACTCAACTACATTATGAATCTAAAACAACAATTCTGAAAGTCTGCTCCAAAGATCTCCAGGGATCCCTGAAATTCTCTCAGGGGTTTCTTCAGGACAATGTTATTTTCAAAACAATACTAAGACATTTGCCTCATCAGTATAAAGGCAATGGTGGGTAAAACTGAAGCTCATTAGCTTGAATCGAGCCAGTGGCACCAAATTCCACTAGTTGTTCTTGTATTCTCTATACCATGCCTTGAGGTTTAGGGGGAGAAAAAAGTTTTATCTAAGAATATTTTGGGGTTGGGAACCAGCAGTTAGTGTAATGG